TTCAGTAACTCTGCCTTCTCTGTATCTTCTAAGAAGAAGTCAGTTCTCATTTCCTCAATCAGTTACAAATTTTGGAAAAAAATACTTGGAATGGATAACCTGACACGTTTCTGCTTGATCTCAATTTTTAATTTATGATCACTTAAGATGAAAGGTTGAATGCACTCTATTGCTGAGGTCTGGCGCTGTTATTCTTTGAAGAACTGAATAATGGTTTATGAGGTGGAACTGAAAGGTCTAACCAAAATTTAGTGTTTCTTTGTTTCTTATTCTGTATAGGCCTGTGAAAAGGCTGGAATTCAGATACCTCGGTTTTGTTACCATGATCGTCTCTCTGTTGCTGGAAACTGTAGGATGTGTCTTGTGGAAATAGAGAAAGCTCCAAAGGTATTGTATGTGTTTCATAGGAACTGCAATTTTCTACTGTGCTTAGGGCTTAGTTTGAATCTTGTCAATAATTGTTTGTACCGTCATTAGCACACAAATTGTTGCCATTCAACTGCTCAAAGCAGTTTTTTCCCTTCTTCCCCCTGCACTGCAGCTATTGCATATGGATCAAAGTCAGTTCTCAGGTTCTTGTGGATTAGCTGGACATGAGCATTGACAGCTGTGTGTTTTCAGTCAGGTATATTTTTATGTTCTGTAATTCAGTCTTCAACAGCGTATTTTCAGCTGATACTACACAAATAGTAAACTTCCGATACTGTATGCATTCAGCGGTAGGATTAGTGTCTGCAGGTTTGTTTTAGCTAAGTAGAGATTGCAGTTACTTATTAGCTTATATTTTAATGCGTTATGTACCACTGACGTCTGTTATTAAAACAGGAATTTACTTCAGGACTGAACACTGCCTTCAGCAGTATTGAGAAATTTATGCAGGTACTTGAGGCATTCTTCTGGAGTTCAGTCTTGGATTATGTGTTTATATTCACATATAAAACTTCTTAGCTCACCTCAAATTGAATTTTGTAGTTTGAGCTTTGTGTCTCTGGAAAAGTTGGGTTATCACTTATGATGGAAGTCATGATGGTCCATCTCATGATGTGATTGGAAAGCAGGAGGAATTTGTTTTCTGAGCAGGAGTTTTTGTTAATCTTGCACTAATCTTGTGAAGAATTTTATTCCAAGACTCTTTCTGTAGACTTTGTCTCATAAATGAAGCATACTTAGAACTTCAGTTCTAGAAGTTTTCGAGATCTCTCCTGAATCTCTTTGATTTGCCTTATATCTGTTACAACTGACTGTCTTCTTGCTGTAACTACTTGAATTGGAACCTGTAAATGTAATATTTTTAACTTTAAAAATAAATAAATAATAGCTAATTTCACCTTTTCATATAGCAGATTATCAACAAATATGGATTCTAGTGAATTTATTGGTTAGATTTTCTTTTTTTTTCTTGTAGATATATTTTAATTTCTATAACATGTGAAATAAATAATGTGCCTATGTAAGAATTTGGGAGAAGGGTGAGGATGGGGTTTGTGGCCATGTTAAGGAGAAATATGTTCTGTTCATGCTTGCTTTTTATCATGATTGCAGCCAGTTGCTGCTTGTGCCATGCCAGTTATGAAGGGCTGGAACATACTGACAAACTCCGAGAAGTCCAGGAAAGCAAGGTACCTTTCTTCTAGCTTTCTATAGCTGATTAGTTGAACTATCTGCTGAATAATGTAACATTGACATTAACTTTAATTCCTGAACCCAACAGAGAGGGTGTGATGGAGTTCCTGCTGGCAAATCACCCATTGGACTGTCCTATCTGTGATCAGGGTGGAGAATGTGATCTACAGGTACAACATACAATTAAATTGTGTAGACTTAAGTATTAATACCCTTGTCTTAGGTGAAATTGTGCTTTCCAGCAGCCTGGATATGTCTGTTTTCTGTTGTCTGTTCTAGGATCAATCGATGATGTTTGGCAGTGATAGGAGTAGATTTAGAGAGGGAAAACGTGCTGTGGAGGACAAGAACATTGGTCCATTAGTCAAAACAATAATGACTCGGTGTATACAGTGCACTCGATGTATCAGGTAATGTTCTTTATTTTTCACTGGAGAGAGTACTGAGCAGGCATATTTACTTGTGGGGACAGTCCTTTTTTTTTCTTTTTTTTTTTTTCTTCTTTTCTGACTGTACTTAAGAGTTTTACTTCTGGTAGGGGCTGACAACTGGTTTCCCAGAGCTACCAGACAGGAAATAGAGATGGCCAAAACATGAAAGTGAAATCAGAATTCTACAGGGCAGAACTGGTCCCATGGTGTTAGTGCCAGAATGGATTTTAGAATATTAAGTTACTTCGTCAGCCACAGTTGCAAGATTTACTTATTCTTGACAGCCTCTGGTAGCTATATTTATGCTGTTCTGTAGTCCTGAGATTCAGTACCAGCTAACTTGAACCAGATGGAAAAGAATACAATGTACTCACCTAGTTCTAGAAACAACTTGTTAATTAGGACTAATCTTGGACTCAGACTGCGAAATTCAGTGAGCACTGAACGGCTCTGTTTTTTAATGTAACTCCACCTAGATTTTGTAGCGCTGTCCAAAGGAAATTCTGCAGATGTATAGTCCTGCATGTGATGGCACCGACTAATGCATCTAAACAATTGTTTTCTTTTCAGGTGTATGAACTGAGGCTAATGTTTTATCTTAAGAAAATGAGATAAGGGTTGAAAAAAGTGCTATGTTGCTGTTGTAGATTCCAGATTTGTTTTGCATTCTCTTTGCATCTTCCAGGTTTGCTAGTGAGGTTGCAGGGGTAGATGACTTGGGAACAACTGGAAGAGGAAATGATATGCAAGTTGGTACTTACGTTGAAAAAATGTTCATGTCCGAGTTATCAGGAAATATTATTGACATCTGTCCAGTTGGTGCTCTTACCTCCAAGCCATATGCCTTTACTGCACGCCCATGGGAGACAAGGTATGTATCTTAACTCATGCTGAAGATGCAGCTTTTCCTGTTTCTGTCATACACTTTATCTTAGAATATGTCTATCTATGATACCAAGGGTTTTCTCTGATTTTTATTCTCTGTTGGTTTTTTGTTGTTGTTGTAGAATTTTCTGTAGACTGAATCTAACACACATTGTTATTTACTTACAGTGTATTCAAGAAAAGGAAGAGGGTTATAGTTCCCTTATTTTTACCCTAAAATGGTTTGGACTTCCAGGTTGTGGTTATTGCTCAGTAAAAAAATGTGTATGAAGGAAAATTAAAATTCATTAACTCAGTAATTGTTGAGGATATAATTCACCTTGTGAAACTAAGTTCTTCCATGCACATCTAAAGCTAAACCTACAGCATTTTGGTTTTTTGTCATTTTGTTTGTTATTCTGTTGCTGCTTGTATATAGAAAACTGCAAATGGTTTATTTGTTCTTCTAATCAGGAAGGTAGAGTCAATTGATGTACTCGATGCAGTTGGAAGCAACATCGTAGTGAGCACAAGAACTGGAGAAGTGATGAGAATCTTGCCAAGGCTGCATGAAGATATCAATGAGGAATGGATATCCGACAAAACGAGGTGTGTGGGAGGTGTTTGTAGCCATGTCTGCGTTTATGCAGAACCAGAAATATGGGCAGTAGCACTGACTTCTTGATGCTACTGTTAGTATTGTAAAGCCATAGTGAAGACTAATTGGTAAACGTGTTTTTAATACTGTATTTGAAGTTACTGAGTTTTGTAATGTTTTCATTTTTGTAGCTTTTTTTTTTTGCAGTAACTTTCTACCACAGATTTTTTACTTGTCTTTGAGAAGGAAATGTTAAACTTTCATGGAAAATATTTCTTGTGTTTCTCTTTTCTAATCACTGCAAGCTGATAGAAAACTCAGAAAATATTTATTATACACAATTGTCTTTGGTCTTCAATAATATCAGTGGTGTTCACTTAGGTTTGCTTATGATGGTCTGAAGCGTCAGAGACTTACTCAGCCCATGATCAAAAATGAGAAAGGACTATTAGTTTATGCCTCATGGGAGGATGTATTAACTCGTGTTGCTGGTGTGGTAAGAACAATTTTCAATATATGTAGCATAACATTAATTTCTAAAGCTGGACATGTTACAATTGTTACTATGAAGACAGTTATATAGAAAAGGGCTTTTTTTAAGGTTAGAGGGGAGCATTTGACTTCTAATCCATTGTATTTCCACTTAAATTTCTTATTTTGAATATTATTTCCTGTTTCATGCATTAGACAATCTGAAGAACTTTGTCTTATGATTTCATTTGGGGCGTTGGGGGAGAAATTACTTTTATTTAAATAGGAAACTAAACTGTTCCTTTAGAAATGTAGGAGGAAGCAACTTTCCTGAATTACTTTAATCTATTTGAAGACTTCTTTAAATTTATTTCAACTGCTATCACCACTTTTGCCATCAAAGCTATTAATTCAGTATTACTTACATCTGAATTGTGCTTGCCTCAGTGCTTTCTCTGTGTGGTGATTGATTCTGCTGCTCAAATGAAGTGCTGCGTGACTGCTTTAGGTTTTGATTAAAAAAATTTATGTGGACAAAGTAGAACTGAATAACTGTAATTGAACTTTCCTCAAGGATGTTTTTGCCCATGGGGTACAGTAGAAGGGTTTGTTGTGAAAGCTATTGCCTCTTGGATAATACCTTTGAGTTGAGTTTACTACCTGAGCTTGTGTTGTGGAAGTTTGTATTCAGTCTGCACTGGATCTTCATTAAAATAAAAGCATTCACCAGTCTTCCTCTCCTCACCACACTAAATGAGAATTAGCCACATCTAAGCTATAGTGGGAGAGACCTGCACACAATAGAGTGAGCTGTTCTTTGCTTATCACCAGTTCTGAAGGAGCTGGAGTTGCTGCCTTGGGGAAGTCAGACATTGCTGATCAGTTTGTGCTACTCCAGGCCAGCAGATTGCACTGCTGGCTTTGACACGTACTAATGTAACAAACATTTTACTTGGGCCAAGTGGGAATTTATTTCAGTGGTTTCTTTTGCTTATGTTTATACTTTCTCTCCCTCCAGCTACAGGCTGTCAAAGGTAAGGAAGTAGCAGCAATTGTAGGAGGACTGGTGGATGCAGAAGCACTAATAGCTCTGAAAGACTTACTGAATAGAGTAAATTGTGATACGCTCTGCACTGAAGAGGTCTTCCCTACTGCTGGAGCTGGGTAAGAGTTCAGGCAATACTGCAATTAATATGTTCATAAACTTTCCAGTCTGCAGATCATCTCATGCTGAGATTCTGAAACTACCAAGAACAGCAATCGCGTATATGTTAAAAGGTTTTGTTTGAATTGACAGTATTCATTTATAGAGAGAATTTATGGATTGAGAGTTAATACATAGTCTCTACTACTGAAAGCCCGTTAAACTCTGTTGTAAGTTGCATAATTGTAGTCTATTTCTATTTGTGCTGCAAAAACTATAGTACAGTTAGGACTTTGTAAACTGTGTAATGTCAGCCTTCACAAACTTCATCTGTTAATAACTGTAAATGTAGGAAATGTCTGCGCTGTAATTCTTTTAATGTTTTGCTGTCTCTGATACTCATGAAAGAGAGAAGCTCTTACTTTGGGTTAGTAATTCAGATTGAGAAATCTCTTCTTTCCTCCCCCTCCTCCCGAGATGAAAAATTATTTTGAGCTTCTAGAATCTTTACCACATCTTTGTTCCTTCCCTTTACTGAATTCTCATCCTCTTTGCTTCTTAAATGTTTTTGTTGTAGCACAGATTTACGCTCTAACTACCTGCTTAATACCAAGATTGCCGGAGTGGAGGAGGCAGATGTCCTGCTTCTGGTTGGCACCAATCCACGCTTTGAGGCACCGCTTTTTAATGCTAGAATTCGAAAGAGGTTTGTATTCCTTGGTGGTGAATAAGCACGCAAATTCATCTGGATTTGATGCAGTGTTCAGGTGGAGCCACAGGCAGTAATTTGAGAGCATTCATCCAGATGGACTGGCTGGATTTAGTTCGCCTTTTGGTAAAGAGAATGGTGATAAATGGGTAGAAAAAGGGTGTCTCTTTTCCCTGTAGTGTACAGCTATGTTTTGATGATTTTCAGTTTGACATTTTATGTAAGTTCATGTACTCGGACGTATTTTGTTACTTTACACAGACACCTCAGATTTTCTGTCTTACAGAAGTTTGTTAAAGCATATTCCTTAATTGTTTTCAGCATCAGCTTGCTGCTTTTTGTATTGTTGTAACAAATCAGACTTGCTAATTTTAGAAGCAGTCATTTAAGTTTAACATTTTCTTCAGCAAGTAATGTGGCTTTCCCAAACTTGTGAACATAGCTAATTCAACTTCAACAAGCTCTGTCAGTAGGAGACAACTGAGGTTTACAAAAGCCCTGTCCTTCCTAATGCTGGGTTCTTCCAAAATGCATCATTTTACACAATAGTGACCTTAAAATTTAGAGGGGAAAAAATGCAGTGATACTTATGAATGATTCATATATTCTTATAAGCTGCAAAAAAGGAAAAATTTTTAACCAGCTATATTTTTCTCTAAGAAATAAGTGGATTTCTAAAACTGTGAGCACTGTCAAATTCATAGCATCATAGACTCATTAACCTAACACTGCTGAGTTCACCACTAAACGACGTCTTTAAGTACCATGTCTACACACCAGAGATGGGGACTCCACCACTTCCCTGGGCAGCATGCTGCAGTGCCTGACAACCCTGTTGGTGAAGAAATTTTTCCTTATTATCCCATCTAAACCTCCCCTGGCACAACTTGAGGCCATTTCCTCTTGTCTTATCACTTGTTACTTGGGCGAAGAGACCAATACCAACCTCACTACAACCTCCTTTCAGAAGTCCTCGTTAGACTTGTGCTCTAAACCCTTCACCAACTTTGTTGCCCTTCTTTGGATGTGCTCCAGCTCCTCACTGTCTGTCTTGTAGTGAGGAGTCCAGAACTGAACACAGTATTCAGGGTGCAGCCTCACCAGTGCTACAATATACAATATACAATAACTTCCCTAGTTCTGCTGGCCACACTATTTCTGATACAAAGAAATTCTTTCCTCCTCCACTAAATAGCTGTAGGTGTTGGGTTTTCTTTTTGTTTGTTTTGCCTTACACTGGAAAAGATGGTTTAAAGTTGTAGCACCTCGTTTTGTGCAACCATTTTTTCCACTAAATTGGCAAAATTTTGAGGAGAGGAGGAAATTACTTCTCATGTAAGGTGTGTTGCTGCACTGGTCCCAGAATGTACATGAAGTAGTCCTTCTAAAAAAAGCAAAATGACAAAAAAAACCAACCCATAAGCTTGTTTAACAGTCAGAATAATAGTAAACTGCATGTTACTAAAACAATAAATGCTGTTTAAACTCCTTTGAAAGAATTTGCATCCTATTTCAAGTTACTGCTAAAATTATAATTAGTGGCTTTAGTTGAGTAAAACTGTATTTTTCATTTTTTCTTATAAAATGCTGTGTTTTCAGCTGGCTTCACAATGACTTGCAAGTGGCCCTTGTTGGCTCTCCTGTGAATTTGACCTACACATACGATCATCTAGGAGAGTCCCCACAGATACTCCAGGACATTGCTTCTGGAAAACATGCATTCTCCAAGGTACACAAAAGTTAGGAATGCGACTGTTAAATTTTAGATGTATTGAATAATTACCTGAACTACCTACAGAGATAGATTTGAAGTACCATGTTGTATATGGGGTTATTTGCTTTTAATTAAATGCAGGTATGAGGTAATTAATGTGCACCAAGTAGAATCACAAAATCATAGAATAGTTTGGGTTGGAAGGGACCTTAAAGATGATCTAGTCCAGCCTCCATAGTGTATGTGTAAAGTCTTTAATATATTCCAGTATGTAAAACTTTGCAGTGCAGGAAACTCCTGAAATACTTCTTGATATAAAACAGGCTGTTTTCAGCCATTGCTGTTTTCTCTTAAATGTGTGGTTATCAAGGGTGAAGTTCTTTATTGACAGGGTAATGTACTGCTTATAGCAATTTCTCTTGGCTTTATCTCTAAATTAAGCAGTGACCATTTCAGAACTGTAGCTTTGCGTGGAAGACTTACGTAGAAATTATGGGATTTATTTCATTATCTGCACCAATAATTGTCTTCAGAGCCTTGGACTGAATTTCTCGATTCTTTACTCGCGCAGGTGCTTGACCAGGCCAAAAAGCCAATGGTGGTGGTAGGTAGCGCAGCACTGCAGCGTGGTGATGGAGCAGCTATCCATGCTGCCGTTTCCACCATTGCACAGAATGCCAGGACTAAGAGTGGTGTTGGTTCTGATTGGAAAGTCATGAACATCCTCCACAGGTTTGCTTTAAAGCTTTTTTGGGCGCCACTTTCATTCATGCTGGGCCTACACAAGTTACTGCAATGTATGTGTGCAGGTTTCTTTGTATACACATAAGCAGCTTATCAGGTTAGAACCTGTAGGGAATATACAAAATAGAAGTTACAAACTAGCAGAAGCTTTTTAATAAAAATGGGTTCCTTGGCAAGCTTTTCAGGCTCTCCGTGAGATTTTATTAATCTGTTGTATTTAAATGTAGAATTTAAAGTTTAGATTTAGAGGTACAGAGTACAGGAGAGCTTAATAACATACCACAGTATTCAGTAGAATGCACAGCAGACCAGTGTCACTTGCTAAATGATTGCCTTTTATCTAGAGGAAGAAAAACAAACATCATGGCTAGAGTGTTTAAATAGTACCGTTTTAATAATTCTTTTACTGTGCAGTTTCTTAACTGAATAGAAAAGCTTTGAATCTTTTCATTTTAGTTTTTTTGATCTTAGTTACTCAGTTTATTGGGATATTATTCCTTTAATACGCAAGCTCCTCTTGGGACAGTCCTTCCCCCCACTCTTTCTAAAACTCCGTCTGTCAAATGGACAGCCTCTGTGGAGGACAAATTATTTCAACAAATAGTAGTGGCACTCAGATTCAGAGACTCAGTGAAGTCCTTCTGCCAAAAGCAGCTTCATTGATGTAAAACCAGTATAGCAAGAGCAAGGCTTGGTCCTCTGAAGGGAACTTGACTATAAAATCCTGCTGCTGAAACATTTAATACCAAAACACCGATGAGTTAAAGAACACTTTTGATACCTTCTTTACATGTGGTTTGGCAGTCTTTCATATTACTGACTTTCATGCTTTTGGTGCACCATCCTCTCTACCTTAAGTGTAAAAAGCAACTTACTGGAACCTCTGTGTCTGGTTATGTCAGACAGACATGAGGAACATTGAAAGATCTGTACTCTACAAAGAGAATCTTTTTTTCTTTTAAATATAATTTTATGTCTGGGCACCTAATTATGCAGGATTATGCAAAACTGTTTCCTTGGAAAACAAAGAGACTGCCAGAAAATGAAAATTATCATTTCATTCTTCTAAAATTATTTTTATGTGTGAATAAATGAATAGTGACGAAACAGGGAGCTTAAGTCTTAGATGCTTCAGAGTAGCTGATTGTCCAGTAGCTGGGCTTTCATCTTCCATGCGATTGCCCTGAATTAAAGGCCTGTCAAGTTCAGTTCATAGCTGAAATGTGAACCTTGATGTTCCAGATGACAAGTGAGCTGCCTGCCACTAGGTCCTGATCTGGAATGTCTGCCTTTATTTTGCTATCCCATCTTAAATAGGTGAGATTCCTCATGAAAACCTCAAATGGAATCAGTTTGTCAAAATGCAAAACCAACCTGCTACTCTGTCAAAATTTTCAGCTGCCTTTATGCTTTGTTTTTGTCCTCTTACTGCTAGAGATCTCTTCTGTCACTCCTAAATATTTAGTCAAACAAGCAAGTTAGGTCTGTTCTGATCAGAGAGGGAGAATTCTGAAATAACTTGAGGTCACAATGTGCTTGTTCCTACAGGGTTGCAAGCCAAGTCGCTGCTTTGGATCTGGGTTTCAAACCAGGAGTGGAAGCAATTAGGAAAAATCCTCCCAAAGTATTGTATCTCCTGGGAGCAGATTCAGGTTGTATAACACGTCAGGATTTGCCAAAGGATTGTTTTATCATCTATCAAGGTAATCACTAGATGTAAATTAAGAAATGTTGTTCTCTGTAGCTGGAGAGAAAGCCTAAACAGTGGCATATTCTTACAAATGTATCTGACCCTTTGGTAAATTTAGCCTTTATTTTCTGCCAAGAAAGTGGACTTACATTACATAACTGAGATACTGGTTACCTGTTTCTGAGGCAGAAATGAGAAACTGCCCATGAGCAGTAAAGGAATGTGAATCAGTTGGGTCTTCTGGAACATAGCCTTAAACCTGGCAGATAAAACGGCGTTGGTTCCCAGCTGTTCTGTTCAAGACCAAAACATGGTCTCTCTTAATTCACTAGGCATCCGTGTTCCAGGAGCCTCCCAAAGCTCAGTGGTTATAGAGACTGAAGTACCATTTACTACTGCTTGTAGTCTACTCATTCTCCCTGAAGTAATAAGCAAGACAGACCTCAGAGCCGTCAGCCTAATAGCTTTACATTACTGGTTAAGCGAACCTTTAGGTACTCTTTTATAGGAACACAGAAATTCTGTATTGTTTGTAAAGCATTTCTTCTTATTTTTACTTATGTCTCATATGGTTGTATACTGTTTCTTCTTTCCATGTATTGAGGACATCATGGGGATGTGGGAGCTCCCATGGCTGATATTATTCTCCCAGGAGCAGCATATACAGAGAAGGCAGCCACATACGTGAATACTGAGGGTAGGGCACAGCAGACAAGAGTAGCAGTAACACCTCCTGGGATGGCAAGGGAAGACTGGAGAATTATTAGAGCCATCTCTGAGGTACTGTTGCTGTTATAAATTGCTTCTAATAAAAGTATGCAGTGAGGCATTAAGTTCCTTTTATGTTGAAAAGTGCTTCCAAAAAAGAGGTACATTTTCAGGGAAATACATGACTGTAGCTTTTAAGAAGTAATGTTTTGTATTGAATACTTTGTTAGTTCTGGGAGTTAAATCATATTGTTTCCCTTTTGAGGACAGCACTAATATTGTAGCTGCTGTATGCTGTTGGAATGCATAATGGGTGAAGCTTTGTCTGCAAATTTTGCTGGTCTTCATGAAGGGAAGAGGAAACTGGAGGGAGGCTGCAGTTTCTTTTTAGAAAACAATGAACTCTAAGGACAGGATCTGGTATCATTAGTTAAGGTCAAATATGAGCTTACTAGTCACTGGGAACAAGATGCATTGATAATTGCATCAACTTCTATCACATTTGGTGGTAAGCTTGGGAAAGTACAAGTGACATCTGCATGGGAGGAGAAGAGAATTCCTTGTCTTTTCTTTTTCCTTTTGTATATCAAACGGTACAGCCTAGTTTTTTAACATGGGGAAGTCTTAGCCATAGGCATCAGGAGTCTAGCAGAATACCATGACTTTGCTTCAGTTGGTACATTATAACTGCCTGTGGTAATCTAAACCACTGTGTGTTAAATCCCTAGACTTGATGACATTTCTTTCTATGATTCTCTTAGTTGGCTGGTATGACCTTGCCTTATGAGAACCTTGATGAAATACGGAAGCGTTTAGAAGAAGTATCTCCTAATCTGGTTCGATATGATGATGTGGAAGAGGCTAACTACTTCAACCAGGCAAATGAATTGTCAAAGGTAACCAAAATTGAAGCATCTGGGCATGATTTAGTACTGTTACATAGCTTGATGCTTTTTAAAGTAATGGGCCTTCTTCATATGTAGTACTACAAACATTCTTTGACCTGCACTGAGTGCAGAATTCACTAAACAAATGCTTTGGTAAAGAGCTCCTGTCATAAACCTGACTTTCTTCTCCCCCCCCCATTTTCTGCCACAGTTGGTGAAGCAACAGCTTCTTGCTGATCCTCTTGTTCCACCTCAGCTCACAATAAAAGACTTTTATATGACAGGTATGTATAGTATGGTCTTTCCATTCTGAAATCAGCAATACGTTTTACTTAGCTTTATAGTAAGATACTTATGAGGCACTTAAAGCTTACCACAAACATGTGTAGGATTCGAGTCTTTTGAAGAAACAAAATTTTCTAGTAAAATTATTTGGAATTTGCATAAAGCACAGACTCTTGGACTATGTTTTCAACTAAACAATTTGCATATAAAGAGAATAAAGAAGTCCTGTACTAAATCTTTTATATTGTGTCTGTATAGTTTTGAAAAAGAACAGTTAGAACACGCTGACATGTGTTTGGATCTTTTTTTTTCAGATTCTATCAGTAGAGCATCCCAGACAATGGCCAAGTGTGTGAAAGCTGTTGTTGAAGGTGCTCATGCAGTAGAAGAGCCAGCCAGCTGCTAGAGACTAATCAGACTGCTACCACTTCCATCCGAGTATTTGTTGCAGTTAACTGCTGTGACTGATTTTTTTTTTCCAAATCTATTTGCTAGATCATTGTATTTTTCTTCATTCACATTTTCATCCATTCAGATAGCCCTGTATAGGACTGTTGTGTCTGAGAGAACACGCAGCACTGAACTTACTGTACCCAGAGGCAGAGTACATAATGATTGTACACAAATAAATTATAATACCAAACAATCCGTTACCTATGTGATTAATGTAGTTCACTCTTCCTGCATGAAAAGAACTTGGTAAGCAACTCAGACTCAGTAAGTCTTGACTTGCTAGGAACAAGTCTACATGGCAAAAATACTAGATTGTAACCTTCTTCCAGAGCATCCAAGCATCTTAATTTTATGCACTGGTAAGAGTGAATACGCTATTTTTGTAATGCACTTTCAGAGCAAGTTGTCCCTCTCTTGAGTCAAGCGTACCTGGTTTATGTCAGTGGTCAGACCTACCACTGCTCTAGATATTTGTGTGTTTCTCCATTTGGTTTCAGTTGAGAAGCTGCTTGTGGAGGAAATAAAAATAATTTTGATGTCGTGAAAAAGAAGAGCAACTTTCACACAGCTTCCTTCTCTTGAACTGCTTTAAAAATGTAGCAAAAAGATACAGGTCTTTAGCTACATCAGTTCAAATATAGAAAGGAGCTCAGAATAGTTTCTCTGTGCAGTGGTCTTTTTATAGCGAAGTGGGGGAAGGGGTTGGATGTGGTGTGGCTTTTTTAAGCTTTAGAATGACTTCAGAGCAGCGACGCTCTCCTCTATTACGTTAGTTAATGTAAGTTGGGAAGAAGGATAGCTTTCTCTTCAACAGGCTACTATGGTAATAAGGTTTAGAGTAATCTTTACAGGAATCATGCAAGTGGGAATAGTATCAGAAAGCCATCAATTCCAACTTTATTAAAAAATATATTTTGCATGAGGAAAAGCTGTATTTTCTAGTGTAGAATAATAGGGCTGTGATAGAAGCCTTAGCTTTATAGCATTCCTTTTTTTTAAAAATTGTTTTCTTTCTGCCTGGGAAAAGAACTCCTCCAGGTTATCCTGTTACAGCCCAGTGTCCTTACACTAACCGACGAAGTCTTAAATGTTGGACATTGTTTGCCTTAGCCTGCCATCTTCTGTTACCAACAGGGTCAGCTCTCTTGGTGGTACAAAATAAAGACAACTATTCACTTTATTCAAAGATACACTGTGCGTGTTAATGAGACATATACAAATACTGCAGTCTGTTTCTAACATGGCAGCTCAGGGGACCCCATAGTCTCTTCGTCCACATGTGTGTCAAAGCACAGCACAAAACCTTCATGTTGTCCTTGTGGAAGGTTATTCCTTTAGGAGGAAGAGGGTTTCATGGCAGGGACATGGCAAAAGAGGAAAGTGTGGGAGAACATATGCCAAAAGCAAGGCAGTTGGCTCTTCTCACAGATGGCAGGTTTAAGAGGGAACGCTGTAGCTGAATCCTATATTCAGTAAAACATTTGGTTCACAGGTTCCCAGGATGAAAACCTTATTTTTTTTCCCTGAAAATTTGTTGTACAAACAGAGGAATAATTTCAGCTGTGCAACAAGTCAGTTTATAAAGGTTCAGAAGCCTCTGAGATTTTTTAAGTCTGGAGCTCTGGCACACAACTTTTTAGTTTTTTTGAAAGCTCTGCATCCCTCACTTAGTGTGTAGAGGAGATCCTTATTTCTATTCAAGTGTCTAGCCCTTATCTTGAAAAACAAAAGGGATAAGAAGTACCTGTGGTGCTGTCTGTCCTGCTTCTACCCTCTTCCCCACCTACCTAGTCACCGGGTATAGAACTTTTCAGCCAAACTTGATAATAACAACAAAGCTCTCTACAAAATTGACTGTTGGAAACCGGATAGGTAAAGAGAAATCTAAATTAGCATTCTTATCAACTGAGTTTCAGTGTAGCCCTTCCCTTCTCTCTTTTGTTTGTTCTGGTGGCTGGATAGTCAGTGCACATGTGGACTTTCACCCAGCTAGCCATAAAAGGACAGCAGGGGTCTGCAAAGGAATGGAGGTGATGTGGCCTGCGCAAAGTATTGGAACAGAAATCTACAGAAACAAGGTAGAAACATGCAACCTAGTTCTGTTTATTAAAAAATAAATAAAATTAACAGTTAGTGCTACTACTTGCTGGTTCTGAAGCTGCAGCCTCAGATTAAAGTGGAGCATTATGAGAAGGTGGCAATGAAGAGCTGGGATAATGGGAGATGAACATGCTCTAAGTATTGTTCCCGACTGTTCAAGTAAGGGCTTATTACCCTGGTGATGCATTGTGTGAACGGTCAGTTCTGCTGATGCAGGTAACTTCCAAATGCAGTGTTGGTGGGTGCATTTATCCAGACTGTTGGGGGGCGGACAGGGGGTTTATTGTAAAGCTAAGATCAGAACTGAAGGTGTAGTTCCCCAAACGCAGCCCTAGTACCACCTGGTGGCCAACTGGCAGAATTCCTCTCTGGTTGCATCATCAGTTACGGTCCAGTAACCTCATCTCACTTCTTCCTGTACACTCCTGCCTGCACTGACAGCATGAGAAAGAACAGGTACGTCTCTAGGAGAGAGATGGATTGGTTTAGTCATTACGTGTCCTCTTCTCTTAACACACCACTGTGTAAACAGAGCTCTTGCACGCAAGCCATTAACCCCAAACATGGCTTAGATTAAACCTTGCCTTTATGTAGTCTTGTCTTCAGCAGAAGGTTGTGGGGAGTGGAGAACAAAAAGTGAATGTTAATTCAAGGTAAAACCCTACTAAGCGCGTATATTGTCAAGCAGGTTTAGGCCAGGTTGACACCAGCAGTCAGATTAAAGAGAAACTGTCAAAACACTGCAGGCAAATTTAAGCATCTAAGTCCAAAGCTGTGCTTTTCAAACGAAAAATTTTACAAGCTGGAGAGAGAGAGCAAAAGTTAGTCACAAAGTCCAAGTCATGTACACCATGTAGCTGCATGCCTGGAAGCATGAAACTCAGCACTGGGCGAGGTGGCAACCATCACTAGAAATCGTTATCTGGTGTTACCTGGATGCCTGGAGGAGTGTGAGATGAGGTGGAGGCCTCGTGGTCCCAGTCCCCCATTTCTTTCCTCCCCAGACAAAAGGGGCCATTACCTCTACCCATGCAGGTGGGAATTAACGGACTTTGTGACATTAACATAAGTGATAAGGCTGTCTATATTCTTCCCCACCCACACCTATGCCCCGGTGATGTAATGCAGAAATTTGAGTATAAGTATCACCCCAATTTCGGCCAAAGAAAGGGGGACAGGATGAACTCGGAACCATACCGATGACTGGATGGATTGATGACTCCCTCTCCACCCCCACCACTCGGGACACCTTGTGGGTAAGATTATTTACCTCAGCTAACGCTGAGTGATGTATTTCTCCTTAGGTGCATTTCTAGGCTTTCTCGAGTGTATTCTTGGTTTTGCTCCACGGTATTTCTGCTCAGACAGGCTTGTTTATTTGCCAGGCAGCTGGGCTTACCGCGGGCAAGTTGCTGTTGTTAGTGTTTGTGTTTCATAGCGTGTTGTTGCTATTACATTAGTTATACAACCTTTAGTGTAGCTGTAGCTTTTTAATTTATCACCAGCAATCTAATAGAACCTGTAAATGTTGCTGTAAATAAACGATTTGTTCCCCAACTTGCGCCTGTCACATATTCGGTGCTGGCCTCACAAGACCGGATTTATTTCCCCGTTTTCACAACACAAGCCCCGTTCAACAGCCACGTTCCTGGAAGCACCAGCATCTCATGGGTACATCCCTACTGTTTCAGAGGGAGACTGCTTTAAAACCCGATTTAGTGAGCTTCTTCAATAAAAGGAAACCAAATAACGTGGTCCCCAATGAAAACTCAAGTCAAACTTAGGTATGTTCTCAGCAAGACTCTGAAATAGCCAACAAAACTAGGCCAGTCATAAAACAATTGTAACTGACTCATTTTTTTAAACTGTATTTTGAAGGGAAGCTCAGGGCAGAAAAGGAAGTGTCTCTAGCATTTCCCCAGGAAGTAAAGGAGTTGGGATCAATGCCTGTGCCGAGACCAATAGTAGCCACTGTCTTGCAAGAATCTGTCTGCTTGGTTGAGGGATGTGCTGTTGATTACTGTCGAAGCTGACACAAAAGCAGCTAAGATTCATACAGTTAGAGCAGAGCAGCAGCCTAGCAGCAGCCTTAATCCAAAGAGAAAATATCACAAAACCTCATCTTCATCCCTGTCCCCACACGCCTGCTCCTCTAAGCCAAAACATCCTCTCCCAAAACAAGACAGTCTCTTAATAATGATTTGGGTTTTTTTCAAATAGGCAATTAGATGAAGTCACCTTCAGTGATGAAGGGTGAAAAGACTGACTCTTCCAAGGCACTGACAGGACATGAACAGAACAAGTGCTAACAAGCAAACTGAGAAGAGGACTTAATTGGGACTACCGTCATGGAAAAAAAATTAGCAATAAGTGGGGAATAATGGAAACCATCTAAAAGTCAAGGACTTAACTGACAACTGAAACAAGCTATTTAATAAGAGTACAAGCTCTCTCAGATTTACCTGAGAAGTTGCCTTGCTCAAGCAGCAGTTTTTAAATTTTTTTTAAATCTGATATAGATACAATTTATGTGTTGTTAATTTATTGATAGATATGAACACAATAATTTATTAGTATTTGTCAAATGTGAAATGGGCACATGTACCTTTGGGAACGAAACACCGAAGTTTACAGAAAGTCACAAGGAAAACTCTGTTCAGACACAAACAGCAAGTCCTTTGCTGTGTGTAGGGGCTTATACAAGACATGCTCCTCTGTTGTGTAAGGTTTCATCCAAAAGACTTTTCAGTAACACACACTAGCGGATGGAATGATGTCACACCTGGGTATCCCCAACTCCCCACAGCTGAGCACGACAGAGGAAGGGCACCAAGGGAGTTGCAAGAGACATAAAACCTTGCAATTCAAACTCTCCAAGTGTCTCCACGATCCTCAAAACTTCCCAAGCTAAACACTGTTAATCCATGTTTTTCTCTGGCTACATGCAAGCATCCATTCGCAGTGCCTAATGCTGAGACTGAGTGGCCTCTTCACATAGGTAAGACATAATAGCTGGTAGAGACATCGCTCCACAGCTGCTACTGAATTTTGAATATACTTGGCTAGTACTTCAAATAAATAACTTTATTTCTTCTTGTCACCTTCTGTA